TTGGTACACAAAGATGGAAAAGAGCCTGAGAATAAAGACTTTGACAGATGAAGAATGGAAAATGGGCACCAGAGTGCAAAAAGACCAAATTAAAATGATCCATGGAAGGTACAGGAATTCACACAAACTCCACTTTTCTGTTGAGGAAAATCTTGGGCAAATTGTAGGCTTGAAGGTGTCATGTAATTATCATGCTTTATGTAGGTCATGCTGGTACAGATTAGCTGCCGTGTTTGCGTGTATAACAACATTCACTTCATTTCCAATCAATTTTTTATTGTAAATAATGAACTTGTATTTAATCTTGATGTTACGTAGGGAAATGTGGCGACTACTGTATTGGAATACATCAAGTACCATGAACATGTTACAAATTGTCCAAAGCTGATGTACGTTAAAGACTTAATTGTGTTTTCTTTTGCACTTTGTAATTCACACATTTTTAGGTGCTTGATAAATGAAGTATGCTGACTCACACTCTCATTAAAGCAAACACACTTTAATTGCATTTATTCTAACTAGTCTGATTCAGACTTGTTCTGTGAGGATTTACATCACGTGACAATGCATTGTAGCGGGTGAGACCTCTCTGAGAATAACCATTAAGTTGCTCACAATGCTTCAAGTGTTCAGGCCTAGTCCTGTTAGTTTCAGTAAAGATTAATTCTGACATTTCGCATAAGGTAAGATGTTCCTCAAAGGTAGAGCATCTGTCAAGTTGTGGGAGGGAGGAGGAGCAGAACAATTGACCACTTCATCAATCTTCCCCATAATCCTGCTATCAGCTGGGTAAAGAACAGTGATGGAAGAGTGGTGGAAATATAACTTATAGAGGATTTGGTCTTATACAAACGTAGAATCGTGACAGCAAAAGTGAATGAACAAAATATTGAAAATATGATGCAACAGAGAGGATAGCTGTGATACAGTATACCTGTGAGAGAAGCACAAAAGAAATCAAGGCATAAGGAAAGATCATTCCGTCCCATTCAGCTCCTTCCACAGATCCTGCAAAACCAATCCGATCGTAGACCCGGCAAAATGTGAGAAATGAATGCATTTGCTAAGCTGTTACCTCTCACATTGCTGCACCAGCTACAAAGGCAAATGCAGTCAGGCTTGAATAATGTGGAAAGGAACATGGGACTGATATTCTCAGGTTTTACTCATTATCTTCAGGTATCTGAGAAAATTTACAGAACTTTTTGTTCTTAGAATTTTGACCTGGGTTACACATATCAGAAAAATAAACTGAATAAATTAGTGAGATTCCTCTACAATCCCAATTCTACATGATACTGTGCATTGTTAGGTGCCGGCTTGGCTGCCACATTTGTCCACAAATACACAGTCACTCCATTTCACAGTAAATCCTGTAAAGCGCTTTGAAACATCCTTCTGTCGTGATAGAAATGCTAAACCAACTGGTAACCAAAAAGTATTATTATTATTGTTGTCATTATTATTATTATTATTATTATTAAGTGCTCTGAGACACTACCCTGGTGGAGGGTGCTACAAAAATCCAAGTTGTATTATTGAGGGGTCAACTAACCTTACTGCATTTCTTATGGACCTGAGTTAAATATATACATATTTTTCAGTATATGATTATATTTGTATATGTGATTCATATATATTTTATTTTTTGTGCTCATCAATGTGAGGGATTTTAGTACCAGGAAATGGCACGCATTTTTTACTTTAGTTACCCAATGTGAACATTAACCATTCCAAGTTTAGTTACAGCATAGTCAGAAAAGATAAAGCTCTTCTACACACTCTCAATAAGGGGCCTTAACCCCTAGCTTTGAACAGCATACTCTACCAAACAAACACATTTTTTCCATTTTCACAGCACTTAACTAATTAATTAAATTAATTAATTTAATTAACCTCTGAATATACATGACCAATTTTTGCAAAATTATAGACAGCTTTGTGCTGTAAGCACCAGGAATGGGGTTGAGACTGCTCAAACACTTTTCACCTGGACCCTTAGGCTGGTCAGACTCTGTCTGCCTGGATTGATTGAAAAAAGGATAAAAAGCCAGTACATAATATCAATTAACTACCTAGTTCCATTTCATTTTAATGAAAATTCAGGCTAGGCATATTGGATTTGTCCCAAGCCAAAATATACATAAAACTAAATGAACCACTTCCTTTGCCATCTACATCTCTGCGTCTGATCTTATCAGGACACATTTTGCCCACAGTTTGAAGATACGGACCGCAGACAAAGATAAAGACACATTTTCTTTTTGCAACATCAAATGCCATTTGCATGGAAAACCAAGGAAGGGAAATAAAAATAAATAAAATTGAGTGAAATTGACTGAAACCAAAAGTCGGACACAACGAATCATGGGAACTCCCTTCCGATGCAAGCTACTTTGGAAGCAGAGTTTCCGTGGGTCATTGTGATAACAGGAAGATGTCCCCACTTGGATTCTTTGTTAGAAATTGTCGCATATTAGACTCTAGTGTATTGTGTGTGCAGTGAAGCAAAAATTGATTTACCAATGTGCCCGATGCCAATAAGCAAAATTTCATTTAAGGTTCAACCTGCTGCTGACAAGCTATTATATGGTCACAAACATTCAGTACGCTTAACTGCATTCAATTCTATTCTAGGATAATGAAAATATAATTCCTTCAATGGATTTTGATACCCCAGGTTTCTTAAAACGGAAGAAACACTTTTGTTCAACATTCTCTCTTCCTAGTACAAAAAAGAACAAAAATCATTATAAAATTATATTCTACCTCTTGAGCGGATTCCTCACCTTTAGAACATCTTTGTATGAAATGTGCAGGTGAGGGGCATCTTATTACTGGTAGTTGCTTTCGATTTTCCACAGAGCTGATCAGATGCTTGGTCCAGTAATAGACAGTATTACATTGACAAATACGTAGCAATATCTAACTGGTATCAAGTCAAATTATTTTCGCTAGACTCTCCTGCCCCTTATATGGAAATATAACATTGTTTGAAAATCTATAGAACCTAATTATCAACAATAAAGACTTATCATGACTTTGAGACGTCTCAAAATACTTCACAGAACATACTGTAAAGTGAATTGACTGTATATATTTTTTTCTGATGGGTGAAACGCGCCAGCCAATTGCGCACAGCAGTGTCCCATAAACAGCCCTGGATTGAGTGACCAAATTATTATTATTTTTTTAAGGAATTATTACACCCGGAAGAGTGATCTGCCAATCGACTAACAACCGGGTTCCTACTTATTGCTAGGTAAACAGAGGCATGTAGAGTAAAGAAACTTGCCTATGTGAAAGGTGCTATATAAATGGAATTTTGTTGTTGCCTAACGTTACGCGCTGCTGGGAATCAAACCCAGGTTTCTCGCTTGCGAGAACTTTGATTCTTGGCAGGGCGTAATGCTCCACGTTCAAACCCAATCCTCTTCCTATTCGAAAACTATATTGAATTGTAAATGGTACTTATTATTATTATCAAATTTGCATTTGATACAGAGCAAATTTCCTTCAGCTGAACATTGACAAGACGGAAGCCATACTCTTTGACTCTCGTCAACGTCTAAAATCACATGGTTGTCACCTCCTCCACCTACCCGACTTCCCCCTAAAACTCTCCGAACCCATACGCAACCTAGGCGTTAGGTTCGACCCCCAATTATCCTTCCTCCCCCACATCCGCTGCCTCACCAGCACTGCTTTCTTCCACATCTGATGCATCACCCGTCTCCGCCAATACCTCACTCCAAAAGCCGCTGAAACCCTGGTCTATGCCTTTGTCATCTCTCGGCTGGACTATTCAAATGCCCTCCTCGCCGGTCTCCTATCCACTAAAATCCAGGTCATACAAAACTCTGCTGCCCGCACTCTTACCCGCACCAAACTCTGCTCTCCGATTATCCCAGTCCTTGCCAGACTGCACTGGCTGTCTGTCCCAGAGAGGATCGACTTCAAGATCCTCACCCTCGTATTGGTGCTCTAACCAATATGCTACAGGATTCACAAGGTCATAAAATTATCTGTACAGTTGTTGGTTTAGCTCTATTACACTACTTGGCTCAGTAACTCATTCTGTCAACAATCCCTGCTCAAAAAATGTATTGCCTTAGATCAGTACTTTTTTTTATCAGGCTCTCAATAATGAGGTGAAGAAGCTCATCTTAGATTAGTTTTGTGCAATATTCTGAATGTTTTCACACAATATGAGGTAAACATAATTTGTTTATTTTCAATAAGGAGAATGACTATTACTACTGATTTTAGGAGTAATAAAGCTTGTGCTGTATTCATATAAAAATGATTTAGATAATATATCTTTTTTGCATTTAATATAAAGCTTTTCACATTGGGAGGTTGTCCCATTGCATTTCACATGACTTAGTGTAAAATTTAGTGACTGCATGTTTCGTAGGCAAACACGGCAATGTCCCACAATCAGTAATGAAGTGAATGACCAATTTTATTTAAGGGATTTTTGGCTGGAAGAAACTCCCTTCTCTTTTTGAAAAGTGCCTTGGTATCTTTAACATCCACCTGAACAGGCATACGGGACCTTGCTTTAACATTTTATCCGAAGGATGGCATCTCTGACAATGCAGGGCACCCACGGTACTAGTGTGTCAGCCTGGACTGTGAATCCTCAACATTCTGACTCAGAGGCGACAGTGCTACCTACTGGGTCAGGCTGACACCTAATTTTTTAAGACTGAGCATTTTCAGTTCTATCATGCAGAACTGAGAATTGGAATTCAAGCTGCCAAGCATCAGTTACCTAATTGACCAATTAATTGTGAGGAGCTGCTGGATTTATTCCATCAGAGTGCTTTTGGCCAAGTCTGTGTAATGTTGTCTGAAAGTACTCTGTATGGGGTAGCAGGAGCTGCAGTGTCCTTTGGAAGGGAGAATTGTGCCATATGGATGCTTTATATGAATCATTCTTCAGGATACAGCCTACAATACAAATACAGTATTTACACACACTTGTTTTTACTTACTGTAGAATGATGAGCATTTAGAAGTGCTGGATGTTGGGTAATAGCCTCCCATGCTGAGAAGACCGTTCTGATAAATTCGTCTGAAGCAGTCTGACCTAATGACAAATTGATATAATTACTTAAATAGTTAATGAGTGGCCTCTTCAGGGTAAATATCCAATACCCTGACAGTTTAACTTCCACATACAAATGGGATATTGCTATTAACCTATTAGCAGGAAAAAAGGCTGGGAATACTAATCCCTTCTGGGGTCAGTTTATCTTCAACCACTCTGCGATATAGAAGGCCTATTTCTTTATCAAGCCCTAATTCCTTTGACCAGAGGAGTCAGCACTCAGAATCCCAAGGATCAATCAGAGGACTGAAATATAACACAATAAAACAGCAAAGCAGCTTCAGGCCATTCTAAGTCAGAAAAAGAAATGTAGAGTTGGTTGGAGGGTGGTTTGTTTGCGGAACCTGAAACTTCACTTAAAGAATGAGGATTATCTTAAATTCTTCATCACTCATTTAAGGTGCTCTTAAAAACACCAAAGAGTTTAAAAATCAGCCCTAGCACTCTGAAAATTTACATCTTGGAGCCAGCAACACGAGTTGATACATATTAATAATCACATGAATACTGCACTAGGTAGACATCTTGCAGATGGCCTCAGGAGAAATCCTTCGCACATTGGTCTGTAACAAATTGTACTTAAATAGGAACAAATATGTCCAACAGAAAGGATATATTCAAAACAAACCCCTACAATATTAGACATTGGGTTGGGTCAATTAGAATTTCTCTCAATTGCAATTTTCAGATATTTCAATGGCATTAAGACCTTCTGGGCTGCGTATCCCCCAATGATTTTCACATTAGTTGTCCAGATTATGTGAATGCATAGATCTTGTTATCTCAACAAGAGATCTATTATTGATAGGTACTTGGCAAAGACCCTGGGAGAAAAATTCAGACTGCATGGTAGTAGTCTTGCATTGGTGGTCTCCCTGGCTGGCATTAAATCTGAAGCTTGGGTTTCTCAACAGCAACTACTCAGTCTTCTGGTGGTACTGCGTGTAGGAGATTGAGCATAATAAAATTCAGTCTCTAGTTTCTAGGATTGGTGAAAAACAATCCACATGGTTTTAGGGACTGAGTTTTACTGGCCTAATCTTTTTTACAGTTCCAGTGATGATAATTTCTGAATTTAATTTTGTCGATGTAGGTCAACACCAGTTCTGGAGCTGAATTGTGCACCAACTATGGAGGCAGGGATTAATAATAATAATAATCTGCATTTGATATAGTGGCTTATCACATCATTGAGAAGTCTCAAAGCGCTTCACAGAATATATCGTAAAGTGGATTTACTGCGTATTTTATGGGCGAAACTTGGTAGACAATTGTGCACAAGCAGTTGTGGACTGAGTGACCACATTTCTTTTATTGCATTTTTGAAAGGATTATTCCCCCCGGAAAGCAATCCGCCAATCGACTAACAACCAGGTTCTTAGTCTACTCGGTAAACAGAGGAGTATGGAGTAAGGAAACTTGCCAAGATTTCGCCCTACTCAGGAATTGAATTGTCTCAAAGGAATTGGCAATCCAAACATGCTGGTCACTTGGTTAGAAGCAGCTTCGGCCAAACCTACAGGTTAGGGTAATTTGTGATCAGTGTTGATTAGGAATTTCAGCCACTGTAGTGCTCTCTCCCTCGCTGTTTAAGACCAGACAGAACATGGCACTGTTGATCAAGTGGTGCATCTTTGTTTAGTGGTCCTGCTCACTCTCGATTATCTAACTGTCCAGGGAATGCAGCAGTGCTTCAGTGCCCAGGTTGATTGCAAGATCTTTTAGCAGTAAGAAATGCTGAGCTTTGACATCCATGCAGCTTGAATTGCCTTCGAGCAAAATAGTTTGCCGTGTTCAGCTCTCATCTTGAGTTTGAAACAGGCTCCACACTTGGAAATATTTTGCAATGATGAAAGACAGCGAAGACAGGTGGTGGAAGAGTCAATCTCTGGGGAGATCTGAGGTACTCTTTTTAAACTAGGAAACGGCATTGGCTGGTGGCCAAAGAAATCAGAATTGGCCCGATCAGGATAGGCTGCAGTGAGCCACTACTCGTTGGTACAAAACATTGGTGCAAGGATTTTGAGAGTAATTGAGGGAGAGGGAGAAGAGAGAGAAACAGAGAGAGGGAGGGAGGGAGAGAGATAGTAATTAAGAGAGGGAGAAAGAGAGGAGGGAAGTGTGTGAAGCAGTTTGTATGGTGCCTTACTGTATAGGGAAAGAATGGGCTACCATAGTTTAATATGCAAGCGTTAAGCATGGTAAATAAAGCTTACCTTATGTCACCAGCCAGTTCAGTAATTGTGTAATTGTTATGTGTTAGTCATATAAAATTCGACTTATACATAATTTTACATAAGTCATATATGATACGGCTTATACAGGTTTAACATAACTTATACTTTGCATAAGTCATATTACATGTATGGTGCCAACTGATATGACTTATGTGAGGTTTACTGTACAAACATTGAGGAAACTCAATATCAATTTGAAGAAAACTCCTCTTTAAGAGTGTTAGTAGTGTTGATGTCATTCTCTCTGTCAACAGATAAGAGAACTGTTAAACAGGAATGTCAAAGTTGTATTGATGGGACAGAATATAGAAGTCTCAGCATTGACAGAAGAAATAAAGCCAAGGCACAACCCAGATTGAGGTCTTAAAATAACAGAATCATCACTGAACTGCTCGGGACAGAGAAAGCTTCCCATTGTTTTCTCCTGCGGCATAACAATATTCTAATTGAATGTAGAGGTTAAATGAATGAGGAAGTATATATATGTTTTTTCTAAAAATATGATACTGTTGATGTACATACCTACTGCACTATCTAAATTAGTTTCCCCACAATCCACCGATTTAATGTGAGTCTGAAAACAAATCAAGAATCAAACGTCAAAGGAAGAGATTCAAAGGGCTACACTACTGTAAATTTGGCAACATTTACGACAACAACAAGATTAAATTTGTATAGCGCCTTTCATGTCAGGAGGACGTCCCAAGGCACTGAACAGTGTACAGCATTTCAGACCCGAGCTGGGGTCAGGGAGGGAGAAGGGAAGGGAGGGTAAGGGGAGTGACCGATGGCATGGTCGAAGAGGAGGGTTTTGAGGCGGGACTTGAAGGAGGCTATGGAGGGGGCGAGGCGGAGTGATTGGGGGATGGAATTCCAGAGATTGGGGCCAGAGTAGCTGAAGGCTCTCCCGCCAATGGTGGGGCGGGTGGTCCGGGGGATGTGGAGCAGGCCAGAGCCAGAAAGATAGAGTTGGGTGTCATCCGCATACATATTGGAAGTTGACCCCATGTCTGCGGATGATGTCACCAAGAGGGAGCATGTAGATATTAAAGAGGAGAGGGCCAAGGATAGAGCCCTGGGAAATGCCAGACGTGACAGTGTGGAGGCTGGAGGAGAAACCAGTAGAGGCAACAAAGTGGAGATGGTGAGAGAGATAGGAATCGAACCAGGCAAGGGCAGATCCGTGAAGATTGAGTAAAGCGGAGAGACGGTGTATGAGGATGGAGTGGTCGACGGCATTGAAGGCGGCAAAGAGATCGAGGTGGACAAGGAGGCAGAGGGAGCCCTGATCACAGATGTTCAGAATGTCATTAGTGACTTTGACCAGGGCTGTTTCTGTGCTGTGGGCAGCGCAGAAGCTGGAATGGAGGGGTTCAAAGAGGGAATGGCGGGAGAGAAAGGAGAGGAGCTGGGACGCGACGACTTGTTCCAGGACCTTGGAGAGGAATGGGAAGTTAGAGATAGGGTGGTAGCTGGAGAGGAGAGATGGGTCCAGGAAAGGTTTTTTCAGGATGGCGGTGATGATGGCTTTTTTTAGGGGGATGGAAACTGAACCAGTGGACAGGGAAAGGTTGATGACGTCGGACAGGAGAGGGGTCAGAAGTTGGAGCTGGGAGATGAGGAGAGAGGTGGGGATGGGATTGAGGGAGCAGGTAGTGGGTTTGAGTTTGTAGACAGTCGTGGTGAGGGAGGAGGGAGAGACAGGGTCGAAGGAGTATAGGGGGTGATGTGTGGGGGCTGGGTCATGAGGGAAAGGTGATGTGGGGGTAGCTGTGGACGGGGCTGAGGTAGCTGAATGTATCCCCTCGATTTTGGATTTGAGGAAGTCCAACATCTCCTCACAAGTTGGAGTTTGACGGGAGGATGGGCGAGGCATGGGAAGGTGGATGGAGGAGACAGTTTGTGTTGCATTCAGGATAGATGTTGCATTTATATTGCATTCAGGACAGATTTACCAAAAATAGACTTCTGTTTGTCTGTAAGTTTTGAACAATGAGATAGATGACCTGATTGTCAGTAAATGTAATGGCTTAGCCATTATGAGACAGAAGATGATGTTTAGTGGATTAACACTGACAAGTGCTGGAGCTGGGGGACTGAGCCCCTCCAGTGGATTTAGAATGGGGGAGAATTCTGTATCTGGAGTCCCATCAATTAGGAACATCTGAAAATTAAGGAGAAATAAATCTACTTGCCACAAACTGAAATCTATGAGCACTGAAATTTTAGTTGTTAATACATCAGGATCTGCATTAGAATAAAATAGTGTTCCTTAAATTTGATAAAGTGCCTTTCACATCGAAAGGATGTTTCAAAGCACTTCAGAGAATTTACTGTAAAGTGCACTACCTGTATACTTTGTAGTTGTATGTGGCAGACATCATCAACATCCTACAAACAGCCATGAATTGAGTGACTAATTTTATCTGGGGGATTAGTGGCTAGAACACCAGGAAAAACTCTTTTTGAATTTTGAATTGTGTGTCCATCTAACAGGACTGTTTAAAATATCAACCAAAGGATAGCATGTCCTACACTACGGCATGCTGACAGTACTGCATTGGTTTCAGTATACACTGTAAGTTCAAAGTCCTGTTGTAAAATAAATAAATAAAATTCCTGAAAGCTGGTTTTAATGCAAAACAGTGACTGGAAGCCTCTTTCCCAATTATAGATGTTTCTGGGAATTTACCTAATCTTGCAATAGGAACATGCAATGCATGTCAAGCTGTCAGTTGGACTGAGTTTGTAGCTTTCTCCTCTTTGGCAGATAATTGTGGATTTAAGTCTTAATAGTGATAAAAAATTGGAAATCGAGGATAGGTTAAATAAGAAAATGAAATGCTAAATTGACTGACCCAAAAAGCCCAACCAAAAGAGCAAAGAATTTTAAATGTTAAAGAACTCTTCAAAAGCGAGATCCATCCTCTGCCTAGAATTCAAATCTCTGGTTCAGTCACAGTTAACCGGAGCCATACTGGCAACTTAATATTGCTGAAATCTTTTTCAGATCTGCTTAATAAATATGACTAGATGGAAAAGAATTCACTAGCTGCCTGTTTTCCTGATGGAAATTATTGATTTCTGCACAGCAGCATCTCTCCCCAAACTAGCAGAATGGTTACTTTTTGATAAAGAGTAGATGATGCACAATCATGTTTCTGGCTAGTTCTGCAGTTTAAAATGTAATTGCTGGCAGTCGCTTTTCCTCAACATCAACTGATTTTCCTTTAATATTTTCAGCTGATGTTTCTACACCCAGGGTACTTGCAAGGACAACAGGGGAACACCAATAAACCTTGAATTAACATTGCCCACATTTCAGGCCATCAGTTAATGTCTTCTAAAAGGCATAGTGATCAGAATTCTTTGTTATTTACAATAATAAGTATTGCAATACTTTACTTACAAGCAACGAACCCCAGTTGACAAGAAATTCCTTTGTTACAATCTGGGGCCGGAACACCTGGAAAACAGATTGTTTATAATGCACAATTTTAGCATCACTATTAAAGAATTTTGGCAGCACCAACTCTCAACTCTCCTGAATATTCTTAATATCATGCAATCCTGAACTTTCGTGGTTAGAGCACTCGCCTCGTAAACAAGAGGACCTGGGTTTGATTCCTGGGCAGGGCGAAACGCTGAGCAAGGATCCTTACTCCAAACGCCTCTGTTTACCTAACAGTAAGTAGGAACCCGGCTGTTAGTCGATTGGCGGATGGCTTTTCTGGGGGTGATATTCCCTTAAAAAAATAATAATAATTTGGTCACTCAAGCCACAACTGTTTGTGGGACACTGCTGTGTGCACTTGGCTGCCGCATTTCGCCCATAAAATATACAGTCAATTCCCTTTATGGTACATTCTGTGAAGCACTTTGACACGTCTAGAAGATGTGAAAAGTGCTATATCAAATGCAAGGATTATTATTATAGCTGGAGAATTTACTAAAACCATTTCTGACAAAAGGACTGAGAGAAGCAGTGGGTTAGCACACTGAGCTTATATTCTGGTTTGAATTCACTGCAGACAGTTGGGATCAGTTCTATTTTTTTTGCTGAGTGTAAGATTATTTTGTTCATTTGGGTGGTCTGATACATGCGAAAACTGTCACTATTCTTAAGAGTATCCAAATCAGATAGAGTTCCACATTCTGCTGTGCGCAATTAGCTGCCCACAAAATACGCAGTCATTCCACTTTACAGGATATCCTGTGAAGCGCTTTGGGACGTCTCAGCAATGTGATAAAGCGCTATATCAAGTGCAAGGATTATTATTATTATTATTATTGTTGTTGTTGTATGCCACCGACACATGGCAATGTTCCTGTATCTGGAATGGAATGTGCACCCTGATTACCCAATTCCAGAGAGTATTAGACGTAGCTTGGCTTGGGGAACCTACTGTGTGGTGTTGATTTAACCAGTTAAAACCACATTGAGAGCACTGTCTGTTAAAGTATCAGCTACTTGCCCAGTTAGGACCACCCTACCCATTAGAACTTTGGCTTGCAGCGTTAACAGAACTGAATGAGGCAAATCCCTGTCCGCAATGGTGTAAGTCTTAAATTAAGTGAATTTGGATTGGATTCTCACGAGCAACAGTCCACAATACACAATGGCACAAATGTAGACACTACATTGCCATTTTTTTCAGGAATCCTTCAAAAAATAGCTGATTGGGCTATTTCACACAGTGTGATCAAAAGATACATTGCTGGCAAAGCAGATGAAACATGTCAATGTACTTGAACTGTTTTATACTTGATGTTTGAATGTTGAGAGCAAAAGTAAAACAGAGAAATATAAATTATCCCACATGATATTCCTAACTTATCGAACATAAAATTCACCCAATCCCTGCCCCCACACCCCTTGATAAAAATATTGACACAAGAGGATAAGTTACCAAGAAAAGTCACAAAGTGCACAATATGCCTAGATCTTTCAATAGTAAACACATCCTCGGTGTTATATTACAATTACAGGTGCAAGAACATCTGGAACTAGTACCTATAATATTTAAAATATTAGTTTGGGCACAGACTAAAATAAACTGTTTACAGGACTTTTTTTTAAAATGGTCACCGAGTTCAAAGCAACTCAGAAGAAACAAGGTCTGAAATGTTTTCTTTTGGAAAGAGACGGTCTCAATTGCATCCTACCTTCCATGAATATTTTCCAAAACATATCATTTCCTGCTATTATTTTTGGTATTCATTCAAGCCAGTGGAAATACCTTAGGCTTTACATAGCTGTTCTAATGTGTGGGCACAAAGCACTTTGAGCAGCCACTGCAAAGAAACAGTTTCAAACGTTTTTGCCTTGAAGATTTCTAAAGTGTAAACCTGAAAGGTTTAGTGTACATTTGCTCACTGGAATTCAATATCTCCTTTTCTTGATTGCAACCATATTTTCTTTTTTTTTAAAATTTCACGCTCAGCAAGATGAAGGATGTTGGTGCTGGGAAATTTTTCTATTTCAGGCACTGGTGTATAAATTGTAGACGACTGAAAGAACTGAGAGTATCAGACTCCCAAGGTCAGGAATAGCACATCCAGCTGCAAAACAATCTTTGCTGCCCAACATTCTGCCTTTGCCCCAACCTCAAAAGAGCACGCCTTACTGCACCAGTATTACATTTCCATTCTCCACATCATTCATCTTTTTGGCATGAGTTGGATTGCCAAATTTAATGTAAAATTAGGTGTAGTTCTGTGGTATAGAAGTACTGGAGACTATAGGTTGTCACTGGCCAGGAGGCAGGGAGATTTCCAATCTCAGTCTGGGCCATTCAACCAGAATTTGTCACAGGGGCAATTACATACCAATCGTTATTTTGCCTTTTTTATATCAATATGTTGGTCATAAGCACATGCAGATAATGAATCTGTGGCAAGCAAGTCTTTGATAATTTAATCCAGTTCATTCTCACTCAGCCATCAAATGAATGCCCTTTAAAGGTTAGATAACTATGAAGGAGTAGACACACATGACTAAGCCAGTGCTGTCAGTTCCAATACTGCTGCAGTATTTCACAAAATAATCAGTTTAACACCGGATAAAGTCAAAGATCAACTAGTGACTTGTACCTATAATTAGAGAGTATAAAACAAACAAAATTTCATATCGCCAATGAACCAAGAGTTTACTCAGTGCATAGAACCATAGAAATGTATGTCTCACAAGAAGGCCATTTGGCCCCTCGTGTCTGTGTCAGCTCCCTCAAGAGCAATCCTTTCAGTCCTGGTTACCTGTCCTTTTCATATACCCTTGTGGTTGACTCTTTTTAAGGCATTTGTCTAGTTCCATCTTGAAGGCCAATATGGATTCTGCTTAGCCACCACTCATGTACGTATAGAGTATAGATCCAACACACTCTTTTTCCTTTCCCTTATCCTCATTGAGATTGAAGTGCTATTTATTATCTATAGCTATTGTGTGGATTGAATTCTAATTAGGCACAAATATTTCTCTATAAATAGTAAACAGAATATGATAACTCTAATTGAACTGAAATTAAGACTACATTACATTGTCTTCTACTTCATCTCATTCTTTCCCAGAAGTTCTCTCAGTCTTCCCTTCCTTCTACAATCCACAAACATTTAAAACCCAAACTAGGTATCAATCTAACCACATCTTGTTTTCTCTACTATCCTTTTCAACCTTGACGTCATGCTACATTATGGAGCTTGGGGGCTGTACAATAAAATAGGCAGTGTATCACACTATAATCTATAGACATGGTCATGACATGTTAAGCGGGATTTGAATGTGGGGAGGGAGGGGGCAAGGTGGAGGGATTGAGGGAAAGAGTTCCAGAGTATCGGGGCATAGTGGCTGAAGGCACGGCCACCGATTGTGGAGCAGAGGGGACGAGGGACAAACAGGTGGCTGAAGCCAGCAGGGGGGAGGCAACTGGTGGAGTAGTGGGTAAACAGATCAGATAGGCGTGAGGACATGAAGGCATTTTGAAAACAAGTGAGAGGATCTTGAAATCGATCCGTTTGGTAATTGGAACTGGTGGAGCCTGGCGAGGACTGGTGTGATGGGGAGACCAACAAGGAGGATATTGGAATAGTCCAGCCGGGAAGTGACAAAAGCATGGACATAAACTAGACAGTGTACCACACTGTAAACTATGCTATATAAGGCGCTATATCAAATGCAAGGAATATTATTATTCAGCTAGGCTTTTCCAATAAATAAAAAATTACCTGAGCTGTCACAAGATGAAGAACTACAGGCATCATAGGAAGGCACATCTTCAAATGTTTGGCTTGAACAGTTGATGGATGTTTACGTCCAGCAACACTGGAGAGTGCAGAAATAATACCACCTATTGAAAAAAAAACTTTTGTAAGTCAAATTATCCTAGTTGCATGGACACGGTGGATATATACTGTTTTCGATGAAAATGGTTGAGAATTAAGCACTCAGAAACATGTTCATTGCAATACAATACATTACAGTGCATCAGCCTGATTCAATTGGCTTGCCTCTGTCAGAAAATTCTGGGTTCAAGCCACGATTAGGGACTTTAAACTCACGTAGTCCAGACTGACACTCCAGGACAGGGCTGAGAGAACACTAGCATTATTGGAGGTCCTTTGGATGGGTTCCCGCATGTGTTAGACCAAAAAAAAATTCCCACTCAGCTTCTGTTAACTCTGAAAGCCAAAGCCCTAATGGGTTGAGTGGACAAGTTGGACAGGAAAAATACAATTTACATTTATATAGTACCTGTCATATCGGAAGACGTCTCAAAAGCGCTTCATATTACTAAATAGGCACCGTAACTTGGAGTAGGAGCCAAGTGGGTGGGGAGGGGAAAGATGTCTGAAAGTGTAGTTAAAGAAGTATGTTTTCAGATGTGCCTTGAAAGACAGGAGGGAATGAGCCTGAGGGCCTCTGAGTCCGACCAATTCCTCATTAGTGCAGTTCATTTCTTTGCTAATAGGCTGCAAGTCTAAAATATTATTATATAAACACTCTAATGTTAACAAGAAGTGCATTCATATCAATTATATTAACCTACATTTACAAAATAAGTCAATTGCAAGTTCTCTGGCTGTAAAGTGAAAAAGAAGTTTTTAGTTGCCCAATTATTGCATCAGTCAATCGCTCCATAAGTATCCAGTGTTCATTACCATTCAGTAGATGGTGAGATGTGGAAATTATTCATTAGCAATTGTCTGACAATATGCGGGCAAATTCTGACAGTCTTTCCACAGTCATTCATTGCACATATAGTATAATACGTTATAGAAAAATATTAAATTTAATCGGAAGCACTGTCATCTTGGGTCACCAATTATCGTTCTTTTCACAATGCAAGTGGATACAGGAACCAAGCAATGAATTGAAGGATACATTTTACATTAAACTAGTCCGAATGTCACTTCTAATTAACCATTTGAAGACAGAGCCTTCTGAACTAAGCGGAAGATATCATGTAACATCTGTAAGTTCTCTAAATTCTAATGAATCAATGTCATACAGTAGAAGAATTCACGTAATGTAAAGGTCAGTGAAGAGCTGGGTTAATAATATTTATTTGGATTAAGATAATAACAATAATAATTATTGGAGTTTGACATAGCACCTTATCACATCTTCGAGATGTCTCAAAGCGCTTCACAGACTATACTGTAAAGTGAATTGACTATATTTTACGGGCGAAATGCGGCAGCCAATTGCGCAGAGCAGTGTCCCACAAACAGTTGTGGATTGAGTGATCAATTTATTATTTTATTATGTATTATTATTTATTAAGTATTATTTTTATTTATTATTATTTAAGATATTCTATTGAATACAAAAAAGGCATAGATGCTTCATTGAGTAAATGCGTCATGTGTGGTGTTACTGAGCTATAGAAGTCAAGCTAAAAGTTGTCAGGAGCCTGGCATGTGAATTGAGAAATATACAGTCCAGGGGAGCTTTAAAAGTCCATTAAAACATTTACCCTAAATAACTGTAAAAAGTGTAACGAATAAACCAATTTCTTTACTCCCTCAATGATCCCAGTTCTCTTCTTTACGGCACCTGTTTCTCACTCAAGAAAACCTCACCCACACATAATTATTTTCTGTGCGCTTTAGGAACCACATTGTATTTATTTAAAATTCACAAAGCACAGTGGCGAGTAATCGACCTGTGTAAATCCTAGACCAGGGATTGGGAACAAGGAAGCAGTTATCTCATTCTCAATTTATCTGGTTTTCTGCAATCAGTTATAGGAATAAATATCATCACACTGTTAACTGCTACAATAGCAGGGTAAGAGGTAGAAGCGAATCTGACAACTCCAGCTCCCCACTCTGGAGCAGTGGAAAGCAGATGGATAGAAACTAAAAAAAATCTTGATTCAACATTTCATAGCACAGGTTCCCAGTGATATGTGAGGGTTGTGCCTGGACATTGTCCTTTGGGACCGTGCTAAGAAGGGGTGAAGGAGACTGGTCATCCTTGACTCTCTTCAAGAATAGTAAAGTCCAATGCAGATTAAACTTTTGATGTGGTTAAGATGTGTGTAAATTCAGTTCTTCTTCATAATTCTGAGCTCCTGGGCATGCAGCAGAAGGCTTTTCTTCATCCCATTTGTAAAGTCCAGCTGTGACGCCTGATGTGGTCATGTAACCTGCTGACTGACATTCACTGTTTAGACTCATAAATTAAAGATAGCCACTTTTGGAGAGTAATTGACACCCATTTTGCCCACAAAATATACAGTCAATTCACTTTACGGTATATTCTGTAAAGTGTTTTGAATGCCTATAATCAAATGCAAGGATTATTATTATTATACAACGATATGCCAGCATTTCTTAGTGCCATCAGGAGAAGAGAAGAGAAAACTGAGAAGGGGGAAAAAATAACAGCGGCAGATGTTTTGAAAATAAAATTACAAATATACTTAAAAAGTTGATGATGTGGATGAGTTGGCCTGTTCCATATATAGGGGAGGGAGGGAGCAGGAGTCAAATAAATGGTTTTGGAAAATGACAATTGTATTTGTGGGAGACACTGCCACTTGACCTGACATCATCAAAAGCAAGTTACTCACAAAAAAAAACTAAAATCATGGAGCAGAAAATGGAAGAAACATTTATATTTAATTTAAAACATCAGTGGAATTTTCTTTTCCATACAGGATCACAAAGAATTTACACAACTGGGCTTCATAAATATACTTTTGGAGTTGTTTCCCTTGGGTAAATTCCCATTTTAAATTATCCATGTTCTAAGGCATTTCAGTAGATTTATTCCAGGACATTTGTTGGTAGAATACTTTTCAGTGTGAATGGCTCATTTACCATTCACACTGAAAAGTGAAGCCGACAAAATCTCAGTAAGTCAGTGACTTGCAGTTTAAACAAACAAATAAATCATACCAATCGCTGAAAAATATTATCCTAGCCTTTCAACTTTACAAGCAAGGAAATGGCATGCAACAATCTGCAGTGTCCTGTATGCAGTGGTTTAAATATCAAATAAAACTACTGTGATGTTACATTGTGTTGATCCATACTCTCATCTTTGCCTTGCCATCATTAAATATTAGTGTAAATGTGCAGATGTTAAACATTTTGACTTGTTATAACACCCTTCTTTATAGCACAGATTTGGTTATAAGCTTGATTCCACTGTGGACTCCATCACTGCATGTGGAAGTAGCTGGCCTGCTCACTAAAATTGCCGACTTAAGTGCTCCGAGACGCTTTCCCTCGTGAAGGACGCTATGTTAATGCAAGTTATTAGGTAACCAATGTCAGATGCACAACAAATAGGAAATGATATCAGCGGTAACAGGATAACATGGAAGTCAACCATTTTTCTTTTATCACGGAACCAGCCTTGACGGGAGAAAGCCAGTCAGCTGCCCAATGAAGCTGCCCTATCCTGCTTCATTATTTTATGGACCCATTGAACAAGGTTCCATTGTATATTGTTATTAAGTTGTTAACTGTCATCTAATCTGTAGCTGTACACTGAGAACCTTATAGAGACTTGGGTTGATTCACCTTTAACAAAACTCCCGACAAAAGTGGCACTCAGCACTAGTGTGAACAGCTCACAACTAGAACTAAACTGGGAGGAGTTTCAGACACCGGGGTTTAAAAAAATACACCTCCTCATGAAAGCAACAGTAGCATCTCAGCACAGGAAAAAGGATCTCACATCAACTTTCAGGAAAACCCATGCTGACTCACAGGACTTCACCTAGGATCCCAAATTACCTTGGAACTCAGGTCTCACAAATACTCATGACATACTTTGGTTTCCCTTCTGAGGCGCAGCTTAAGCCTTGAGGCACTTTTTCCATTGACCGGTGCTAGCAACTCTATTGATTTCCTAATTGCCACTTTTTCAACCTAATTATTTCTTCAGTTTCAACAATGACAAGCAGCAACAGCAACAGAAAAAATAATCCTTGGTTTCATATAGTGCCTTTCACGTCATTAAGACTTTAGAAATTGTTCCACCAGGAATTCATGTTAAATGTGATGAGTGTGTATTTGTAAGTGAATGTGGCAGCCAATTTGCACACAGGAATGTCCCACAAACAACCATGAAGTGAATGAGCAATTTTATCTATTCGGGATTGTTGGCCAGGACACTGGAAGAAACGGTTTAACATCTCATCTGAAGGATAGCATCTCTGACAAAGCAGGCATCCCCAGCGCTGTCAGCCGAGAAATTGACATTCTACATGAGAAATGGAAGATAGGTAAAACTTTCAATCAAATGTAAAATCTCATCCCCATGTAAGTGCTTATTGATGCTTTTGTTTTTATATTTAAAAAAATGCTAGAATTTTTTCTCTTAATAAGAAAAGAAATACATTTCTTCCAGCAGATAATTTTAATCAATTCCTGGAAGAACTACATTAACGGAACAAAACAAAAACGTTAGCCTCTCACCTTTACCAATTGCCAGCTGAAGTATTTAATTAAAATGGAGTCTCCAATTCTAGATATGAAAAATTCATGAAGAATTGAATATTTCTGCATGTATTCAAGAAATCTTATTTTCTTAAACTGTCAAGGGTCTTAGCACCTGAAGTGAAAACACGGTGACTAAACTGTACTGCTGCACATTTCATGTCATTTGGTCAATTTACCTATGATTCCTGGCAGTTCCTGTACGATGTGACAGATTAGGAGATCCAGACATTTTGACATGTATTCATTGCTGTTTTGTTGTTCCTTCCCTTGTGTGGCTTTTCTGCTGTCTCTTTCAATATACATCACAAGTCTGGAATTTAAAAAAACAGAGGTGATTAGTGCCATCTTCAATACTTGAAATATGTTACCCTTGAGGGGTTTCTCATTACAATTTTCACTATTTTTAGGTCAAGATTATCCAACTCTGTTCTGTCATGATCATCCAACACATAAACACCGGGTTACGATGTATATGAATTGTAAAATACCTACACGTCGACTGCATATTTTTCTCAATAAACTTGCATTTATAGTACCACAATCATTATTCCATAACGGTTAACGCCATAACACATCAATGATATGTTGTGCACAGATGGTTGCCATCTACAGGCATTCAATGCTGGCACCCAAACAAATCTTGACAGAGCGACTGAAATCCATCTCCTCTTTGGTGGGTGAGGGGGGAGAGGAGAGGTAAGCAGGGTCTCCTTAGAGCTGAACTGGTTATGAGATGTCAGGATGGACTCTGTGGTTTCAGTAGTCTATCTCCTGAGCCAGGCAGGTCTGCAGTACTCTAGGGGCACTGCCGATAACAGTCCAGCCTGTCTCACTCACAAGCAGGTCATGAAAGTTAGTTGAGACTAGGACACTGAACTCATACTTAAAGCAGCTTGATGCTGTGATGGTGGAACAACAGGATGGGTGTTCTGAAGGATGAGATCAGGTGGGTCGAAGGGCCTTCTTTATCTGATCCAATCTTGTGATCTTGTGAAATACACAGATATTACACTTGACAGCAATTGCTTGTGAAGCAATTGCAGACATTTCAACATTTTGAGTGCTATATCAAACACAAGGATTATTATTACATGAAAAATATCTCTTCGACCATGCCAAGAATCACTTCCTCTCTCTTGGTATCAAGCCCCATCTCTGTAAAGCACTCTGAGACTCTACTTTAAGTGAAGTGCCCTATAGTGTGCTAAAGTTGTTGTTATATTGACAACATATCAACTAGTTCAAATGCAACAGTGCTCAATATCAATGTGAGTAATCCATTATGTAATCAATATGTCATTGTGACCACGAAGGTGCTTGTTATATTCTGAAGATTAAAAAAAAATTGCAAGCACATGCAATAAAGGAAGAACATTTTGATTTTTGAATCAATCACTTTTCCATGATGGGTTTTTAGCTTTAAAGATCCGAATACAAAAATAAAATAGTAATTGAAGTGTAGTCAACTTGTGAGAAGTAATTATTGGTAAGAATTGTATTTATAAGGGAGAGTGCTGGTAGGTGGCAACAATACTCAGAAAAAGATAACGTTTGCGGGGGGTGAAACTGTTGTAGAGAAGCACAGGGCATAAGGCCAAAACAAGACGAAAGGAAATACACTAAATGCTCCTACTGTCTGCTTAAAATAAAAACACTGGTTTCACTACGTTTTAGCAAGCAACAACTGGAAAAAAAACAAAAATGAGCAGAGTGTACTCCAGTAACATATTGTGTATCCATTTGGTCTTTCAAATCTTGATAAACAGCATCATGGGATTTACACTATATTTGTCAAATTGGGAAAAAATAATATGAGACATCTCAAAAGTAAGATCAGTATTATTCACCAGAACTCCAATCTTTCGAATGTGATTGACAGATGTTGCTTTAATCTTTTTAATCAGAGATCTTATTGAGTTGAATTTTAATATGGTGAACAAAGTTATGTCAATTCAAGCTTACATTAATTGCATACCAAAACACCATCAATTGTCACATTATACAGCCAATAGTCACAACCCATGAAACTTCCATTCAATTTGACCTTTAATTTACAGTAACAATAGCAAAGACAACATAATTTCTCTCCACAAATATTCAGTCCTTTTTAATCCTAAAATACTTTTACCTATTTCAGGAAATATAGTTTTTGTTTAAATTCCACTAGATATCTATTTAATTCATGCAATGAAATGTAGTACCAGACAATTTATCATATCAAAGTGTTGGAACTTGTTCCATTTGCAAATGAGTTTCACATTGATGTTGCCACTTTCCCACAGAGCTAATAATATCAGCCAATATTTGGACCATCTCCAAGGCCAAATAAAACATATGAAGCAATTGTGAACAAGCTCATACTCCTACGATCCCTATTGCATCAACTTGCAACTATATTTTCACCTAATCTTTCATGTAAAAGAATGTCTTGTGTAGTGGTAGACACCAGGTAAAGAAATAAGAAATTAAAGATGTTGAAGAAAGAAAGAGTTGAGGAGCTGTGTATGATTTAGGAGGTTTTGAAGGCAGAGAGAAAGGTAGCAAAGCAAAGTGTTTTTGGAAAAGAGATCTTGATCATGGACTAGCCATTTTGTGCATAGTAAGGTCCCACAAACATGAGGTGACTGAGCAATTTATTTGGAGGATTATTGGCCAGGACACTGGGAGAAATGACAGTCTTTTCTTGAACACTGTCCACCTGAAGACAGGCTGATGTTACAAATAATCAGTAAAAAGAAGAATTCAAAAAAGCATTGAGCTTCAGCTTTGACAAGGTTGGTTTATGCGCCTTGTCAATATGTCTCTTGCTCATTCTGCCAGAGATGTCTGCTGATTGTATTTTTAATTAAGTTTGAAAATTTTCTCCATCTGTCAGTCAAGCAGTTGTTTTGATTTAAAAACAAGCTCAGAGACCTTTGCTTGGATGTAATAATAATCCTTGCATTTGATATAGCACCTTATTATGTCTTTGAGAAGTCTCAAAGGACTTCACAGAATATAATGTAAAGTGAACTGACTGTGTATTTTGTGGGTGAAACGCAGCAGCCAATTGCGCACAGCAGTGTCCCACAAACAGTCGTGGATTGAGTGACCAAATTATTACTGTTTTTGTTTCCTTGAGGGATTATTATCAGGTTTGTGGAGTAAGGAAACTTGCCCAAGGTTTCGCCCTGTCGGGAATCAAACCCGGGTCTCTTGCTTGGATTGAAGTGACCAATTTATTATTATTTGAAGGAATTATTACCCCCAGAAAAGCGTTCCACCAATCTACTAACAACCGGGTTTCTACTTACTGCTTGCTAGGTAAACAGAGGGATTAAGGAAACTTGCCCAACATTTCGCCCTACCGGGCAGGAGAAGACTAAATGCAGTATTCAAAACCAGCAACACAACTACAAAAGTACAATATGCAGAGCAGCAGTCCCTATAGTATCACTATACATTGACATTATAGTTTCTCTCTCTGCTGCTCGTTGTTCACTATAGGGCACAATGCTGCTGCTCAACTAACAGATTCTGATATTCTATCTGTGATAACTGATCATGGCCAAATTTGGGGCAGTGAATTTCATATATGACAATCGTCATCCTTTGGGTGTTCTGCAAATGCAATTTGTGTCTGTGAAACCAAGCAATACTTCGTTTCAAGGGGAATAAATTTCCAATCCATCAAAGCATACTTTCCAAACACCATCTGTGTCATGAGAACTACTGTGGAATCTACTGTGTATATAGTGAAGAGGACCATAAAAGCTCACAAGAGGTTTGAATGAAGAAAGCTTTTCAGCCCATTTGATCTTGTCCTTTTCATAAAACCAAACACACCAACTTACCATGAAAGAATCAGGATGTAATTCTACGGGCACGGGCGAAGTTGCAGAGGCGGGGGAAGGCAGAGCGGGTCATGGCAGAGGATCTGCTGATGTCAGGACAGCAGTGGTCCTGGAGTCAAGGGTGGAGGCAGAGAGGTAGAGTTGGGTGTCATCCACATACATGTGGAAGTTAACCCCATGTCTGCAGATGATGTCACCAAGAGGGAGCATGGACATGTTGAAGAATAGAGGACCAAGCTCAGAGCCCTGAGAAACTCCACACGAGACGGTTCGGGGGCTTGAGGAGAAGCCATTTGTGGAGCCAAAATGGAGACAGTGTGAGAGGTAGAATGCAAGGACAGAACCATGAAAGTTGAAGTGAAAGGCGGTGGAGGAGGATAGAGTGGTCAACGCTATCAAAGGGAGCAGAGAGTCAAGGAGGGCGAGGAGACAGAGGAAGCCCTGGTAACAGATGGACGGAATGTAATTTGTCACTTTGACCAAGGCTGTTTCTGTGTTGTGAGTAGCAAGAAAATCTGATTGGAGGGGTTCGTGAAGGGAATGGCAGGAGAGGAAAGAGCGAAGTTTGGAAGCAACAATTTGCTTGAGGACCTTAGAAAGGAAAGGGAGGTTGGAGATGGAGCTGTAATTTGAGAGCAAGGATGGGTCCAAGGAACCTTTTTTGAGGATGGGGTGATGATGGCTGTTTTTAAGGGGTGAGAATGGTGCCAGTAGACAGGGAGAAGTTTATAATGTCTGTGAGCAGTGGGTGGGAGGAGGTGACAGTTGTTGGTGGAAAAGAGGTTGTCCTTGGCCTCCAAGATTATATTGGAATAGAAGGACGATTTAGCAGAGGATCTGCTGATGGACTGTTAAATTAGATTTGAGCCAGGTGCGTTCAGCAGCACGCACACCTTTGCCTTGAGGGAGCGGAGGTGGCTGGTGTGCTAGGGCAACTTGCGAGTGTAGGAGGTGAGGGAGGCCACGGCATCGAGAGTGGCAGAGCGGGAGTTGTGGAGGAAAGTGACCAAGGAGGATAAGTCATTATGGGAGTGGGGAGAGATTTTTTTCCAGGGCAGTAGGAGATGGAGGTGGGTTGTGTGGTGGTGGGGAGAGGGATTGAGGAGTTAAGGGAAATTAAGTAATGGTCTGAGCTGGCTTTGTCGGTGATGGTGAGGTGTGAGACACTGAGGTAATCACCAGATTAAGCAAGTAGCTACGGACGTAGGTGGCAGAGTGGATGTGGAGGGAGAGATTGGAAGAGTAGAGAAGAGAAATCAGAGGAAACATTCATAATGTTAAAAAGTGGTCTTGTCACATAGCTTGCTACAAACCACAGGGGAGTGATCTCAGTTAAATTTGTAACCACTGGATTTACTGCATGGTGTAAATCGCACTTTTCCTGAAACTGCTATCTCTAGATTGTGTAAGAGCAACCTCCAGTAACATTCGCAATGGCTCTATCTCTCATTTATCCTGCATGTTTGCCAACCAAACATGCAGTATACACAGTATAAATGAAGCACAAAATTACTTGGCAAATTAGATTTAATTTATTAATGATTCATTGTTTTAGAATAAACTTTCTGTGGAATTTTATGTAGCATTAGTTGGTGGCAGCTGTTTTATGTTGCAAACCAGTTTTTATTATGACAGCATTTCATTTCAACTTATTTTATTTCTGCATCTTACTTCCATTTGGTGACAAATCTCGAAGTTGCTGAATTGTGCTGGGAACATTCTGATGTCTCAGAAAGTGGCTACTCATCATATAAGGTTAGACCCATTAGCCTATCCACATAAGAGCTACAGACCCTTTAGCCTGACCTCATATCAACAACAGACACATTAACCTATCCATATATCAACTACAGATCCTTTATGCCTGACTTTATATCAACCAGAGACACATTAGCCTGACTGCGCATTGCCCTCAATAATTGGAAACATGATGGAATCAATCGTCAGAAAGGAAATGAACATTACCTGGATAATTTTTTGGGGGCAGCTGAGTGTTTGACACATGCAGAAACCCATCACCATGCTTAAGAGTATCCAAACCCAACTGAGAATTCCATGCATCCCACCTACACATGGGAATCCCAGAGATAGATTGTTGGAATGGAACGTGCCCTCTCTCCCTGGAGGGACACATCCTGCTTACCGAATTCCAGAACAAATTAGGTGCAGGTTGACAAGAGCTACTGCTTGGGGACCCCAGAATGTGGGTTGGAGTACTGCTGGAGTCTTAACCAGCTAAAACCGTATAGTTTGCTAAATCAAAAGCATTGTCGGGCAAGCTTTCCCACTGCTTGTCCAGCTGGGACCACTCTACCCATTAGGGCTTTGGCTTGCAGGGTTTACAGGAGCTGAGTGGGAGGATTCCCTGCTCCCAATAATAATAATAATAATCCTTGCATTTGATATAGCGCTTTTCACGTCGGGAGGACGTCCCAAAGCGCTTCACAGAACACTCTGTAAAGTGAATTGACTGTATATTTGTGGGCGAACGCGGCGCCAATTGCGCACAGCAACGTCCCACAAACAGTCGTAGATTGAAAATGACCAATTTATTATTGTTTTTGGTTTTGGAGGGATTATTATTAGGCTCTGTGTGGAGTAAGGAAACTTGCCCAAGGTTTCGCCCTCTGCCTGGAATTGAACTCAGGTCTCTATTTGCAAAGCGAGTGCTCTAACCACTGAGCTACAAGACTCCAGTGACTGGAATGCCCTTCCAGTATATCTTATTATTATTATTATGGCCTTCCATGTCCTACCAACGAGCCAGACTTTATCATCAGCATTGCCCTGGAATACTGTGGAACCGCCTGGCTCAGGAACCGGACTACTGAGGCAATCAGAGAGGGTTGACTTGATTCTGACATTCTGTTGCTAAACATATCACATTGGAACGAGTTTAGCTACAAGGAGACCCCACTTAACTCCCCCCTCCAGGAGGATAAAAGTAATCTAAATAATGACAGCCAGCATGGGTTCAAAAGTCTAACCTTAGACTTTTTGAGCCTGTGACATCTCAAATAGGGCTAACTAGTCATGGTATTCAACCTTCTGAGACCTAGGAATCATTTTAAATCACCAATAATAGAAATACATAAAACTATACCATCTTTCTCTTCCTTCCGCCTCCAAGCTACTCATTAGATTTTTTTAAGAAATGGACAACTCCTATCGATTATCCACAGTATATCTGATTATTTGTCACTGGCCCTTTAAATATACCCATGAAAATGTGACAAGATGCACATTGCCAATCGTTATTCTCGTAATGGGATGGGGAATAAGAGAGAAGGCATTGATATCTAAAACAATATGGAAATGCTGCCAGTAAATATGAATATCAAGCTCTCTGCTGTACCTTTCTTTATACAGTATTCAACATTCTGAACATATTTAGATAATGTCATATTTTATCAATGAGGTGCAAACAAATGTTTCTACAATAATAATCCTTGCATTTGATTTGGCGCCTTATCATGTCTTCGAGACGTCTCAAAGCGCTTCATAGAATATACTGTAAAGTGAATTGACTGTATATTTTGTGAGCGAAACGTGGCAGTCAATTGCACACAGTCATGGATTGAGTGACCGAATTATTATTATTTTTTTATTTTTTGGAAGAGAATATTACCCCTGGAAAAGCGATCCACCAATCAACTAACAACTGGGTTCCTACTTACTGCTAGGTGAACAGTGGTGTGTGGAGTAAGGAAACTTGCCTAACATTTTGCCCTGCCCGGAAATTGAACCCAGGTTCTCTCGCTTGTGAAGCGAGTGCTCTATCCACTAAGCTACAGGACTCCATAATAACTGAAAGCAAATGAATAATTTGGGATTAAAAAATTCAACTGACAGCTCAATAGCTGCATAGTGGAGCACTGAGTCATAATAAAACAGGAAAGTCCCTGAGGTGAAAGGCTTACATGGAATAAACTGATTTAAAGCCATGGTTTTATGGTTTTGGTTTCTACCTCTACGTTCGGTCATAAATATATTCACTCTACTTTGCAGTATATCCCGTGAAGTGCTCTGAGACGTCCTCCTGCCGCGAAAGTGCTATATCAATTGTAAGGATTATTATTTTATTTACCGATGTGCCTCTTACCTTGTCTGGCAACAGAGCAGCAGCATTTCTTTATTGTTCTTTAACACTTCCAATAAGACCAAGAAGGCTTTTGCTCGAATTACTGTGGAAGGACTCTCCAATAAACGGACAATTTTTGTGACAAAATCCTGCAGAAAATGAACAGTTCTTCTGTGAGAAAGCAGGAGCAGTTAATTATGCAGACATAACACTGCTCATTCATAGCTAAAACACATTTTCAATTAAAATGATGATTTTCAGACAATACTCCTGAATATTTTAATATGATTTTTTTGTCCTCAAGATATATGACTCACTGATGTTACTCCAGCAGTTGTTCATTTATTGCCAGACACTTAGACTCACATATGCTGCATTTTCTCTTTTTGTACAATGGAACAGCTCTAACTGAAAAGAAAATCTCAAGCAATGCAGTCTGCCTATGATGCTGCATTGCAAAGTGAAGGTAGGGTGAAATCATAATAAAACATAAAAACATCCCTCGAGCAAGACTTTTAGATGCAATGTTACCTAAGGACTTTATAAATTGCAGATATTACCTTATTCATGCCAAGAAGCTGCAATTGATATGAACAAAATCCAAAACAACAATGCTCTTCCCAATGCAAAATGTAGCACCCCCAAGGCAACCAGGTGTCTGACACCATGCTTGAGTATCCAAACCAGGAAAAGTTCCACATATCCATGCCACTTGCACGTGGATATTACCCTGTGTCTGGAATGTGTACTCTCTCTCCTGAGGGACACAATCTATTTGTCAGAAAGTACTAAGCGCAAGCTGGTGAGAGCCATGGCCCCAGAGTGTATAGTGAGATATTGCTGGTGTTTAACCAGCTAAAGATGCATCACTTGGTACTGTAAACACTGTCTGGCAAGCTTCCCACTGCTTGTCCAGGAAGAACCACTATAACTGTTAAGGCTTTAATTTGCAAGGTTAAGTGGAGCCGAGTGAGAAGAATTCCTGGCCCCAGTGGCTAGTTTGCCCTTCCACGCAGCACACCTAGCCAATGAGTCACCAGGAAGGTCTAGCCTCGGAGATGCTTTGGAGAGGGTTCAGAGAAAATTATTCTGGGACTTAGAACTTAAGAATTAGGAGCAGTAGGCCATTCGAACCTGCCCTGCCATTCAATAAGATCATGGCTGATCTATTCTAACTCCACCTACCCACCTTATCCCCATATCCCTTAATCCTTTTATCTACAAGAAACCTATCAATCTCAGTCTTCAATCTCTCAGACTTGAGGCTCCAATATACAAGAAAGAAATACTGATGCATTTAATAGGAAGCTACCTTTTTCACATGAGGTTAGAAATGAACAGAAGAGTATGGAAGGAAGTAAGGAGTGGGTGGAGACTCATGTGCAGTATAAACCTTGCACATGAGTCTCCATGTGGAGTCCTGTAGCTCAGTGGTTAGAGCACTCGCTTTGCAAGTGAGAGACCTGAGTTCAATTCCAGGCAGAGGGCGAAACCTTGGGCAAGTTTCCTTACTCCACACAGAGCCTAATAATAATCCCTCCAAAACCAAAAACAATAATAAATTGGTCATTTTCAATCTACGACTGTTTGTGGGACATTGCTGTGCGCAATTGGCTGCCGCGTTCACCCACAAATATACAGTCAATTCACTTTACAGTGTGTTCTGTGAAGCGCTTTGGGACGTCCTCCCGACGTGAAAAGCGCTATATCAAATGCAAGGATTATTATTATTATTATTATTATAAACACCAGCACGGACTAGTTGGGCCGAATGACCTGTTTCTTGGCTGCACATTCTACGTAAATCTATGTAAACTTGGTAAGTTTGAGTGGCGAATTGATTCAGGACTGTCAATCCTAAAAGGCATAGAAGATATATAAGTAGGCTATTTGACATAGACTGTGAGCACACAACTACAGGAGGCAAATTTAAATGTAAAAAGCCTGAAGTGAATAGAATAAATTGGTCACACTAAATAGCAGATATGTGTAAAATAAGAATCAATAGGAATTGATTACAATTATTTTCGAAAGGAACTGGCTAACGTTCTGGTTGGAAGCAGGTTTAGATGGAATAGGGATGAAGTATAAATTGAGATGATCAAACAGTTTGCAGTGGCTCCCTGCTGTTGGAGTTAGCAGTAGACAGCAAGCTGGGAATGCAAAGTGGAGAAATAGGGAATGTTAAGTATTTCTGAAATTGCTTGACTACCTTTGCGGATCAGCTAGAATGTGTTAACAGCAATACTGATAGATGTCAGGATACTAGGCTCATTTAATAAACAACTTAATGTATTAATGGAAAAACAGCAGAGTGGAAGGATGAGATCAAATGGGCAAAGTATCTTCTTCATCCAAGCCTACTATGAAATTCCCCCTTCCGCCAACAATATAAAAAGAGTTCCCTGCACAGCACTGAGATCCTCAGATTAAAAAGGTCCATAATATAATATTGCATTATTTAGCAATGATTCTGTAAGGTATCACTGATAAATAATCACTTCTGCAAGGCCTAAGGTTCTTGATGTGGTAGAATTCACCCAGTAGCAGATTTCACAACCTGTTAATGACAGGTCAAACTACTGTCTGAACAGAGACTTTTGCACATCCCCATTCCAGGTGAACCTTCTTGCGATCCTTTGGTCATTTGTGGTCGATGTTGGATGGGTTCTAATGGGTGCTTCTGTGTAATTTGTTAAGAATGTCATTGTGGAACATTCTGTGGAAGCTAGACTTCCCATTTTTGATCATTAGTCAACAAACCAAACTAGAAGCTACACATGTGGATTTCAGAAGTGAAGGCATAATGAGGCTTAGTTCTGTCCCTACAGTCAAATGACCTATAACTTGATAACACTTGCCATCCGGGTTAAGACACTGAATAACCACTGGAAGTGCAGAAGGACTCCTGGAGCCTGTGACCTTTCTCCATCAGGTCGGGTCAGCAGAGAAAAAATGCAACTGATGGATCAAAATGAATCCAAGGCAATTGGTCAGCTGGGTGTCTGACAAATGCGGAACATTACTTAAGAGTATTCAAAACAAGCTGAGATTTCCATGTGTCCCACCTACACATGGAAATCCCAGAGATAGATTGTTGGAATGGAATCTACACTCTTCTTGAAGGGATGCATCCTGCTTACCCAATTCCAGAAAGTATAGGTGCAAGTTGGCAAGAGCCAAGGCTTAGGACCCCAGAGTGTGCAAACAATATCAGATATGAAAATATTTTACAAATATCAACACGCACATACATTTGTGACACAGAAAAACATGGAGGGAATATTAACTAAAAGAAATTATTATTGTGTCATACCTTTTCCTGCACCAATCTTTGCAAGTGCACACCAGATGACAACATTGCAATAAACATAGTCAACATGTACTGTTGAACACGGCTTATTCCAGTCACTAGGGAGTTCAGCACTGCTGTCAAGCCGACCTTGTCAATGACACTTTGAAAGGCACTAGCAGAGTGGCGAGTAATCCTGCACAAAGCCTGCAGGGACAAGAGAAAAATTTATAGATACACTCTAATTAAACGCCAAGTGTATAGCATCATAGAATTTAGGGCTGGAACAAAGGTTTTGTTTAGAAATTCCCATATGGTTCACTTAAATTTTACACCAGCTGATCAATATGTAATAGTCCCTTTAAAATGTTTCAAAAAATATGCACTACTTTATAATGAGAAATTAATTCAACAAGCAGACCAGGAGACCGGCTGGGAATTGAAACTGTTTCCTGCAGCTTTATTTGAATCCATTTGTTTCTAAGCTAGTAGCTTGTTTGTATGTTTTACCCTATTCCTCCCCCCACCCACCCCATCCCATGATAACCCAAGACCTCATTGGTGAAGAAAGCAAGAACAGATTGTGGACAGCGTCAATGCTCTTATATGAACCATTGGATTGAGGTGAGAAGGGGAAATGACAATTTAGCCAAGACAGGCAAAATTTGCCTCTGGAACTTGGGTTTGTATCCAAACCATGGAATGAACAACGTCTCACTTCTGTCTGTAAGATTCCTAAATTTAATGTTTAGACAATCGCAAGTCTGTTCCTAGGATGGAGCATTTTACAACTGAAGACTTTCCTCTTTCGGCCACCTCTCTTGATTATAAGGCCGGAATCCGTTGCAAACCCTTAACTGTCCAATGCCTCAGGACATCCTTCCGATCTGAGAGGTGCAATATAAATGTAATTTTGTTGTTTTTGTCTCTAATTGGACAATCACACTTAGAGAGGCAATAGAAATCCTTGTCATCTACCCCTCCTGACCCCAATCTCCAGCTCAGATCCAAATCCCTAACTGTCCAACACCTTGGGACGTCCTCCCAACGTGAAAGGCACTATACAAATGTAATTTGTTGTTATTGTTGTTACTGTGGGAAATAGATAGATTACGCTAAAGGTTATTCCCTCTGCTTAGCAAATCAGTAAAAAGGGGGCATAAGATCAGGGTTGTCAAGGGAAGCATTAAGTAGAAGGATTGAAGAAATATTTTCTGTTGGAACATGGAATGCTTTTCAACAAGTGGCTAATCGAGCTGTGACCATAACAAAATTTAAAAGTAAATTGGATAAACATTTGAAGTGAAATATAAAAAAATGACACTCCAGTGCAGTGCTGGGTGTGCACTGCATTGTTACAGGTGTTGTCCCCATCTGTTCCCATATGCCTGTTTAGGTGTTCTGACCACCAATCCCACAGATAATATTGGTCATTTATTACATGTTTGATTGTGACACACTGATGTATATAAATTGACTGCCAGTTCACCTACAACATGTCCTACACTTTTAAGTAACTCCCGTGAAGCACTTTAAGATATCCCCCTGACGTGAAAAGCACTATATCAAATACAATTTGGATAGCGTTAGCCAATTTTACTTAAGAACTTATTGGCCAGGCGCCAGGAGAAACTCCCTTGTTTTTTCGAACTGTGCCGTAGAATCTTTAACATGTATCTGAACTGGCAGAAGGGAGCTTGGTTTTCAACACATCATCTGAAGGACCCCACATTCAACAATGCAACGTACCCTCAACACTGTATTGTTGTGTGAGTAGAGACTACACGAGTTCGAAATCCCAAAGCCGGCAGAATTATTTCAGTGACAATGATCTTGTGAGGGAAATCATGTGCTGTAGGTCCAGCTACACTGAGTCAGAGAGTGTTATGAAGCCCTCTTCAGGCATGATTTTCCATCTGGTGAGTTCCATCTCTGTTATGTCATCTGATGAAGGATGATAAGCAAACCCAGTCTCTTCCTCTCACACAAAATAAATGAAAATAATAATAATCCTTGCATTTGATATAGTGCCTTATCAAATTGAGATGTCAGGACATCTCAAAGCATTTCATAGGATTTATTGTAAAGTGTTGTGATTGTATTTCTGTAGCCAAATGCCTCTATACTCAAGAACATCAGCCAGAAAGGTCTGAAAGAAAAGCCTACCAGCCCTCCCATAAGGAGAATGAAGCATAGCAAATGAAGAATTATAGTACCAGGCAAAAAATTATAGTATCCACACGTGAGCTTTTAATACTAAACAAATTAGCCCATTCTACGTTTGTGTACTGATATCTTTCAATAATAGGATTTCAAATAAGCACATTAGGACTTACTGAAATGACTGTCACCCGCAATGAATCCACAGTTGAGTGTGTAAAAAGGTACCAAAGTAACAGACCGATCTCTCCAGTGAGGAATCCTTGAGCAAGAGATGAGTTAGCGGTGCAGACATTCTCCACAATCTTTGCAGCTATGTGATTAGTAACTGGATCTTCCTGCAATAAAGACACCACATCAGATGGGAACCAAGTCTCTATTTTATAACTTTCTTTGGAGAACACATATTTTGTGATATCGTGAAGATGGAGGGGAAGTTGTACACAGAGGAAATGGTAGATTGTCAATAGGAATCAGTGTAGTGCGAGAGGCTAATGTTGAGCTGTTGCATCACCATCTTATTGCAACATAGTGAATGTGTACACGTAATGATTGTAGTGCTCAGCATCTCCTCTGGTTGTCAAAGTAACAGCACTGCTTGAACATCAACATATAGTGAGAACTTGAGCAATATACTGCAGCATTGCAACTCACATTTCTTACAGTAGTTCACACTAGATCAACTCTCGAAGGATCAAATTACAATCTCTTGGTTCACTTGAGGCCTGAAATTTATCACATTTTTAGTCTTAAGACAATTGTTTTAAAATTTAACAGTGCAAAATTTCAGTGAGCTGTATTACATTCAGATTTAATTTGGAAGCTGATTTTTTGCGGAACCATAAATGAATTGTAAAAAATTGGCTTTCAAATTAAGGTAGAAATTAAGAAGGTTATCCATCTGCACAATCTTACATTTTTAACCAATGAATAATAATAATCCTTGCATTTGATATAGCGCTTTTCACATCTTCTAGACGTCTCAAAGCGCTTCACAGAATATGCTGTAAAGTGAATAGACTGTATAAATGGAATCTTGTTGTTGTTGTTGTATAGCACTCCAATTGGTGTGTGGCTGTGATCAGCTAATTGAGTATAGAAACCAAATTGGAGATGTCTCTGGTTTGTACAACTTTGGTTGGAAAATATACAGTGAGGCTGAGAAATATTAGTTAAAAAATACTTTTGCATTTTGGTGTAAAATATATCCCTTTTCTAACTAAAAACCTCTTGAGGCTGTGAACCTTGACAGAGAATAGCTCTAAGCATTCGACCTAGATATAGAAGTTGCCTTGAATTTTATGACTCAAGCTCTGTTGGAAAAGGCCAATTAGGCAGATGCATAAAATGTAGATTATAAAATCTTATGCAGATTATAAAATATGGCAGTATTATAGAAAATCCAGAAAATAAGGCAGAAAATGTAGATTGTTAGTGATACGTTAGTGATATTGCTGAAAATACACGTCAGTGTATTTATAAAGGTATAAAGATAATAATCTTTGTGTGGAGAGACTTTCATTGTCTGTGTTTGATTTGAATCAATAAAGTTTCCAGAGCGAATCGATAAAAAATGTCATTCAAAAGCAACAGTGTGTACTATCAAGATCTTCTAACTCTAGTATGTTATTAATAAGAATCATGTTCAGTGGTTTTCTAATTAACAGTACACTTAGAGGACACTCCAGTTCTCCACCTCAAGAGTTTGCACTCCTGAGACCAATTTCCCAAACCCTACACACTCAGCATCAGCTGAGGCAGTGAAGACCCTAGAGTGAGATTAATGGGGGCGTTTCCTCAATACAAAAGTAGATTTTCTCTGGCATCTGCCAGTGTGACAACAACCAGGCTCTTCTCTTCAGCAAATCTCCAAAGTAGCAATTGGACAAATGAACATTTTGGGTAGTGAAACACTGCTGGTCTTTTAATTATATTTAGTCTTATTTTCTTTCTCAATTTATGTGCTGCAAAACATTTATACCCATTTCTAAAATGCAGACTGGCCAAGAATTCGAAAATTTACAAACCTATGAAGTACTTATTAATTAAAGATATATAGTATATATATATGCAATTTGTTGCTGTTAATATATCATTGCAACTTTTTAAAAATTCTGGTGTGTGCAGAAATGCCACTGCTACTTGTGCATTCCAATTTATACAGCAGTAGTGCAGTCTGTCCATCAGTAAATCTGTAAATATAAAGGTCTCTGGCTGTGTGCACTTTTCACTATTGCATGGTGACATTTGAGTGAATATATTGGGTCAATGTTGACGGTATCACTATTTCTGGTGATGGTGAACAGGGACAAATAAACAGTTTCCAATTGGCAGGTAACCATATTTGGCTTTACTCTGTCTCCAACAAATCACAAACACCTTGAAACCCGCAATAAACAAGTTGCTTTTTCATGCATTCGGTGTATGAAGAAATATAAGCAATCCAGAAGGCTCTGATGCACACGCCTGCGAATATGATTCATGAAGCTGAGCTTTATATTGCAGACAAAACCTAAACCTGAAAATAAGCTTAAGCCAACGTCAAATGTGTCTCCAAGGAGAAACATTATTCTAGGGACCAGAAGTCAAAACATTTCCAAAAGTTCACATACCCTGGAGGTACCAACACATCTGGTTTTATTTTAGTTCACCTCAGTTTGGCTTTATTTCATTTTCAACAAGTTTCTGCCAAATGGCCCTGAATATTGAGTATCACAAGCAAAGGATACTCTGATTTTGCTGGATAAACCGATTTTACCTCGATTGTTGCTTTAAACAAGCATTGCTACAGGATAAAAACAGAAAATGATCTCTTCTTGAGAATTGGTGGGAAGAATATCCTTCCATATTTGATGGAAAAGCTAAGTGGAGGATAGAGAGAAAAATATTTATACTGGGGAGTTCTGGTCTGTCATTTCAGGACATCAGTATTCTGTTTAAATTTAAGCCTGGGCCTGGTGAAGCAGGGTTGAAATGTTGTTCTCACACCCAGGAAAGCTCGTGGGCTCTACTTCTCCTTCACTAAGAAAAAATGCAGCAATGGCACCAATATTGGTGCATCAACTCTGGGTAAAATTAATCTCCAGAAGTGGTGGTGGTGGGCGGTGGGGATAAATATCAAATACTATATCCCCCCTCTCTTTTTCATATTCATATTTCTTTTACCCTATGTTCCCAGCACTTCCACCTATTTCTTGTTGCTTTGAATAGAACAGGAATAATTAATTTCTCTTTAAATAAAATTGTTGTCCCTTTCATGGTTCACAGCTATTGGTACTCAGTATGAAGGCTCATAAAATGCTTATCAAATTTGCAAATAGGCTAGCTCATCAAATGAAATTGATGAGTTCTGCATGTACTGTAGATATTTTTTGTGGTTTTGATTAAAAGGTATCTCATCAATTTAATCATGCTGGCCCTAAAATCTTTTATTGTGCATAACTCCTGTACTGTACTGAAATATTCAACCAGAACAGGCCATGCTAGATGCCAAGTACAAGGGAATGCAGAGTTTGCATCCCATATTAGGCCAAGTATCAAAACTATATATTGACCCATGCTGACCTCTAAACTGTACCTATAAACAAACACCCACATTTGAACAGACATCAACCTGATATGTATTTGCCTATCATTGACATTATGCTTTACAAGAACAATACAAACAGAATGGAACTGTGATCTAGAAATCATAGAATCACAGAAACCAATTGGTCCTTCAGGTCTGAGCTAGTGTTTTTCACTACATGTGCCACTGCATCTACCCTACTCTTCTGCTCACTCCTCATATCCTTTAAAATTATCCATCTAATCTCCTTCTAAAACGAATACGACTCTTACATCAACAATAGTTTGTGGCTGAGAATCCCACATTCCACCCACCCTCTGTGTACAATGTTTTGTGTGAACTTCCTCTTCACTTCAGGTGGTCAAGATAATTACAAAATATTTTCCTTTTGTGATTATCTTAAATTTCTGCCCTCCAGTTACCTACCGACGTGCCGAACAGTGCAAATAATCATAACCCTTCAGAATCTTGAAGACCTCTATCAAGTCACCCCTTTTCCACAGCTATGTGGAAAAAGTCCTAACTTCTTAAGTCTCTCTTCTTAACTGAAACCTGTCTTTGTAACTGTGGAACACAATCAGTTTCAATGTGTTGTTCCTCTCATCAGACTTGTCACAACTTTGTGAGCATCGCAAACCTCTATTATATTTGAGGGAATTTTTAAAAAATTCAGATAGCATAACAATACTATCATCATCAATATAGGAGGTCTAAAATATTTAAAAGAAAGTCAAATTGAATTTCACTCCAGTCAAAATGATTTAAAAAACTTCTCATGTATCAGTTGGTATGAAAGAAGAGGAAGGTGGAAGAACTCAATTGATATGCAACAGTAACAGTGTACACAAGTGCAGATATTTTAGATACTGCCATCTGTATTGTCTGTCCATTGTGCCTACTGGGGAGAAAGGATGATTAACCATTAAATAGAAAACCGAAAGACGCAACCTTTAACACTGCTAACAGATGCTGTCAGTTTAGTTAATTGTGAACTGAAATGGGACCAGATAAAACTTTTATGTACATAGCACAGCAGGCACTTTAAAAATGACATCACCTCAAAGCCGCTGAACAAATGATAAGATACAGCCATAATTAGTACACAGGGGAGCACTGCTACTGACTACAAATGTGGTAGCAATAAAGAGCAGTTTGCTTCATTATACAGTCTACTCCACTTATGTGTCCTTACCTGTTAAAAGAACAGCCTGCTGTGGTGTGTTTTTTTAAAAAAAGGCAAAACTTTTTCTTATTGATTTTTGTAGTACATGTTCCATTAAGTGTACAAAAGAAAGGATAATGAGTGTTAAACAGGTGATATGCCTTAATGTATTCTATTACCATCAGTATAATTTAAATCACTTTCATCTGCAGATCAACCCTGTAGTGGTACCCACAACATTTACATCTAGAATTGCATGGAATGATGTAGAGTGGAAACACACTATTTGACCAACTTGTCTATGCCAGTCTTCACACTCTGTGCCCAAACATATTCAGTTCAGTTATAGAATCTTTACCTATTTTATTCTTTTAGTAACAAATAATAATAATAATCATCATCCCTGCATTTGATATAGCACCTTATCACATTGTCGAGACTCCTCAAAGCGCTTACCGGATATATTTAAAGTGGTGTGACTGTGTGCGTTTTATGGGTGAACCTGGCAGCTGATTTGGTTACAGCAACATCCCACAAACAGCCATGGAGTGAGTGACCAGTGATCTAGTACTAGGGTAAGAGATTCAATTACAGTAAACAGTGTAATA